AGGAGCTCAGTGGGTGTTGTGGTATCCAGTTTCACAAGTTGCGAATGAATGCCTATGATGGAAGTAAGGTAGTGTCTTCAGGTGGCACTTAGTTGATGAGTTTTGTCATCAGAGAAGAGGAGCCGGTGGCCGGCTTGAAGCAGTTGATCGGGACCCTGCAAGGGAGGAGATGGATTTTAGAGATTCGATATCTGTGTTTGAGGGAATCTGGGTCGGTTCGAGATCAGTGGATGCACTGTAGGAGTATCATCCGGAAGTTGTGTTGCCGTAGGCTTCGAGGACGAAGCCTAATTTAAGTGGGGGAGAATTGTAACATCCCAAGTTTGGAATCTAGAAGTTGGAGGGTGCTAAGTGTAAAATTAGGAAAGGGACTCGACGAGTAGGTCCGTTTACTCGCCGAGTCGGAACGGGATTGATCGCGGTATTAAGTGGCCAACTCGCCGAGTCGGCGGCGTGGACTCGACGAGTTGGTGCTGGAATGAGAAAAGCCTGATCCCGAGGGTTGCACCCTATTTAAAGGACTTTATGTCCTTCTCCCAGCCTCCTAATTCCCCCAAAGAGTTCCAGAAACCCTAATTTCGTGTGAGTTTCCATTAATAGAGAGAATAGAGCTTTGGAAGAGGAAATCTTGGAAAGAGGCTTGAAGATCAAGAGGCTTGCTGCAAAGGAGTGGTGTAGATCCGGGATCTACTTCAGTTGGAGCTTATATTGGAGGTAATAATCTGTTGCTTGGGCTCTTTTGCATCTAGATCTATTATCATTTGAGATTTGGGGCATTTTTGGTATGATTATGAGTTAATTTGAGTTAGAGGCTTAGATCTGAGGTTGCTACTTCAGATCTAGACTTGTGTTGGTCCAGAAAGTCATAAAGTATCAGTCTTTGAGTTGTTGGTGAAGCCCTTTTGTCATAAACCCTAGCCCTAGAGTGTTTTGGACTTATATCTCCTTGGTTTCACGTAAAGTTTGCAACTTTATGTGAGGGTTAGGCTGTAGAAGAGTGGATCTATGGATTGGAGCCTCAGCATGGCTCGAAAAGCCTCTGCATGGATTGAGAACTGAAGGGACTCGGCGAGTCACATGGTGTACTCGACGAGTTGTATGAACATGTGCATGGACTCGGCGAGTTGAAGAACAACTCGGCGAGTCTGTTGAAGATTGCCTTGGACTCAGCGAGTCTGTTCTGGACTCGGCGAGTCTGGTCGCAGAACCCCAATCTTTTCTGGTCAAACCATGAAGCAGTGAGTCGGGAGGTGACTCGGTGAGTTGAGCAGGACGGGACTCGGAGATCGTTGGACTCGACGAGTCTTGGGGTGACTCGGCGAGTAGAGTCGTGTTATGGGAGTTTCTGAGTATAGGGACTCGACGAGTCGACGGGTCGACTCGGCGAATAGAGTTAGTCAGGAGGTTGACTTTGACTGAGGACTTTGACTTTGACCAAGAGTTGACCAGTTTGTCTACCAAGGGTATTTTGGTAATATTGGGCTTATGAATCTGGTTCTTGGTAGTGTACGGTGGTGGAGTTCGTGTCGGTGGTCGGAGCAGCTGATCTTATCCTTCCAGCCGGCAATTGCGAGGTGAGTTATCCTCACTATATCAACAGGGTCTACGGCACCAAGGCCGGCCCTTTATCGGATGGAAATCTGGGTATTGTTTGTTATGTTATTGCTTTGCTATGTTTGCATCCTGTAGTTAGGATGATATGCGTTAGAGACCTGGTTAAGGTCGGTATCCTGGTATATAGGATGATGATATGCTAGTGACCGGTTAGGTCGGTATCCTGGTTAGGATGTTGTTATGTTATGTGATATGCTGGATCGGTTTGATTAGTTGTGAGATGTTATATGATTATATGTTTATGTGCACATGGTTGTTGGACTGGGGTTGGGTTGAGGCGGGTCCTACTTTGTGCTGTAGGCCAACATACCCAAGGCGGACCGGATGTTCCGAAGGCCCAGCGAGCGGTCCGGATAGGCTGAAGGCCCCAAGAGGGCGGACCAGACGTCCCGAGGCTCAGAGAGTGGACCAGGCCGACTGAAGGCCCGGTGCGGGCGGGCCAGTCATACTGTAGACTCAGAGAGTGGACCAGGTGGATTGAAGGCCCGGTGCGGGCGAACCAATCACACTGTAGACTCGACGTACATGGCTAGACTTGGAGGGTGGACCAGGTGAACTGAAGGCCCGGTGCGGGCGGACCAGTCACACAGTAGACCCGATGTGCATGGTTGTTCTATATATGATATGTTATGAGTATGTTATGTGTGGTTGGTATTTTGGGGGTAACTCACTAAGCTTTCGGGCTTAAAGTTTCAGTGTATTGTTTCAGGTACTTCAGGAGATCGTGGCAAGGCGAAGGCGTGATCGTACCGCTCCTCATGTTTTATGATTTATATGATATGGTTCTGGGGGATACTCTGATGTTTAAACTATTTTGAAAACGAGTTGTATGAACGTAATGGTTTTTGAATGATTTAAAATGTTTTAATTTGGCTCAAATTTTATGGGTGTTACAGTGGTATTGGTATTTTGGGGGTAGCTCACTAAGCCCTTGGGCTTACAGTTTTCAGTTATTGTTTCAGGTACTTCAGGAGATCGTGGCAAGGCGAAGGCGTGACCGTACCGCTCCTCATCCTTATGATCTGTTTATGGGACACTCTGATGAAAAATGATTTGAAAACAATTTGTAAACAATTACTAATTTGGGTTTTAATTGTGAATGGAAAAGTTTAAATTTGGCGTAAATTTTATGGATATTACATATCATCTAGGTTTGCTACTACCTGATATGTTATATGTTGGCATGATATGTTATATGTGATAGTAGTAGAGTTCTATTGTTAGGACTGAAGGGTAGGTCGGACACCCTAGATATGTCTGACAGTATGTTATGATATGTTTATATGCTGGCATGATATGTTATATGTGATAGTGGTAGTAAGAGGGGAGTAGTCCCCAAGTTCGGTTGTTAGGACCAAAGGGTAGTTCGGACACCCCAGATATGTCTGATAGTATGTTTATGTTATGATGTATGTGATAGTAGTAGTAGGGGGTGGAATAGTCCCCGAGGTTCGGTTGTTAGGACCGATGGGTAGGTCAGCACCCCAGAATGGCTCGACACGGGTAGGTCGGCACCCGAGAATGGCTCGACACGGGTAGGTCGGCACCCCAGAATGGTCGTACCGGGTAGGTCAGGCACCCCAGAATTGCCTGGCAGTATGTATGCTATATGATTGTATGGAATGTGGTACGATGGGGGAAATCACTAAGCTTCGTGCTTACAGTTTACAGTTTTGGTTTCAGGTACCTCTTCAGCGAAGGGGAAGGAGCCGGCGCGGTAGCAGCGCATCATACACACACGCATTGATTTTCCGCACTTGAGATATTCTGGGATTGTACTCTGACATGTTGCTATTATATGATTGGATTTTCAGACATGATATATTGATTTGCGAAATGATATATTTTACTTAGTTTTCTTATGAATGTTTTTATAATCAGTTAAATAAAAATGAAATTTTTGGACTCGAAAAATGGGACGTTACAGATACGTAGCGTTTTGGGGACTGACACTCTCTTCACGTACCGGTTTTGGTTTGTTTATATAACTTTATGTTAGTTCATGGGTTATAATAAAATTGGGGGGGGGGGGGGGGGGTGGGGGGGTTTGTTGGTGATTTTAGTCTCACCAGGTATATTGGGTAATTGAATTAACATGTGAGCTAATGGCCTTATTATTTGTATTCTATATTATATGTTAAGTGAATGTGGAGTTCATGCATATATAAGATCAAATTATAAGTCGATAAAACAAAAAGGAAGGGGTCAAGGGGGTCGTACCCCCTTGCAGGGTCTGAGGGGCCGCCCCTAGTGGGGTTGAGGGGCAACACCCTAAAAGGTCTTTGAAAATTTGAATTAGTTTCCTTATGTAAAAATCAAATTCTAATGGGTGATTATAGTAAGATTGACAAATCTTATCAGTTTTGAAAACAACTGATTAAGCCATTAAGTTCATGATTCTTCTAACTAATTTAGAAGATAGAAACCATAATCTATGTATATATATGACACCTCTGTTGAGCGGTATAGAGAACGTTTTTCAGCTATTTTTCTTCTTGAACAAACTCATAACTCACTAGCGATTTAGTTTGTGTTTTTATGTGTAGATACACAAGGGTCGTGGATTATCCTAGACTGGATTTCTTGTAACTCATACATACGGTAAGTGATTTTACATGATCCATTAGGTATTCGGTCCACCATCACCCAACTTATACTCCCCCAACAAAATCTAGTTAAATATAGAGTATATTACACGAATGGTCCCTATGGTTTGGGGTAATTTGTGCACTTGGTCCCTAATTTATTTTTTTAATTCGGAAGGTCCCTAATGTTTGTTTTTGTTACGCGCTTGGTCCTTAGTTTTTGTTTTTGTTTCGCGTTTGGTCCCTATCTTACCTAAAAATACTATTATTTAAATAGAGAAAATTGGTCTGGTAAGTAGGGTAATGTGAGGGGGTTGGGGTGTGTTTATTTAAACAAGTTTAAAAATAAGGGCAAAATAGTCTTTTTAGGTGAGACAGGGACCAAACGTGTAACAAAAACAAACAGTAGGGACCTTCCGAGTTAAAAAAATAAATTAAGGACCAAACACGCAAATTACCCTAAACCATAGGGACCATTTGTGTAATTTGCTCTTAATATATTTGGTCAAAAGTCATACCTTGCTCTAATGGTTGAAAAGTCGAACTCCCAATCCTAATTACTGATTAAAAATTAATTTAATTACTTTAAATTAACTTAATTTGAAATTTTAATAATTTGATATTATTTAATGAAAAATCAGACTTAAAGGTTAAAACGTCAAACTCCAAATCACACGAGTATTATAATTTCTCAGATTAAAGAAAACCAACAATAAACAATCATCAAATAAGAAGATTTAAAACTGATTATGCTCTATACAATTGGCTCAAGTATTTAGGAACTTTCGAAGTCAAATTCCCTAATAAGTATATTCAAGATGCAATTCATACATAATAAGTACATGTGGTAAGAGAGTAATAATTTATTTTTCGTATTAGTTTACAAAAGATGAAAGCAAATCGCATGCCAATAGGCTAAACTCGGATAATCAAAAGCAGTGAAATTGAGGTTCTCGTGAGTTTCTAGTCTTTCTACAGATATCTCATTTTTTTCAACAATAAAAATACAAAACACTGTTTTTTTTCCCAAAACGCCCTTGGAATTTCAATCTACGACTATGACCAGCCGAAGACATAGTCAAGAACATATACCAAAACAAGAGAGAAGGGATAGAGGGCGAAAGCAATGAAAGATGTCCATAGAGGAAAAGTTGTACGCAAACTTCCGAAAACGCCCATCACAATGCAAACAATGAGAATCACAAGCACTTCAGACGAAAAATCCCATGTTAGTCCTCTCACATACACAAGTGCTAAAAACACCGATAGGCACAGGATATTATTCATCGTTACTGCCCCATATAACTGTAAAACAAATTAAAGGTTAAATGGTAAGATATCCTTTCATTTAGAGTAAATTACATTTTTGGTCCCTAAGTACAGTTGTTTTTTGCAAATTTGGTCCTGATAATAAGTTTCCTTATTTGAGGTTTTTTGTTGGTTTTTGTTCCATGTTTTGAGTAAAATGACTACTTTTGGTCAACTGATTTTTTGCAATTTTGGTCCCAAAATCACAAAAACTTCAAACAAGTACCAAAATCACAAGAGAACTTTTTGGAACCAAAATTGGAAAAATCGACTATCCCCAAGGACCAAAAATGTAATATGATGCAAAACAAATAAATAAATAAAAGTAAATTGACTACTTTTAGCCACTGATTTTGGCAATTTTGGTCCCAAAAACAGTCATTTTACATTTTTACTAGAAACATGGACCAAATACATTACAAAAACCTCAAACAAGTACCAAACTTGCAAAAGAAACTTTTTGGGACCAAAATTGCAAAAATCGACTATACCCAAGGACCAAAAATGTAATATAATGCATAAAATTCAATATTTAAGGCCCCTAAACTCGTTTTGTTGTACTGATGATTTATAGGTCATAATGGTGTTATCCGATACAAATTCAATATTTAAAAAAACAACAAGAGAGAGAAAAACGAACCTCGGAGAATGTGAGGGAGGCGGATCTTTTCTTTTTGCGGGTGGCGAAGATGATTGCAGAGACAGCTTCACTGGAATTGGTTGCTAATGGCAACGCGATGAAGGAGATGAAGAAAGAAGGAATACTCGTTGCAGCTGAAAACCCATCAACTGCACCCACAAGAGGATCCGCAAATGAAGCCGCAATTATAGTCCCCAATATTAAATACAAAACAGCTTTTATTGTTGTACTTCGTGGATCATCCACCCCTTCCTCTTCATCTTCCCCCGCATCGTCTCCTAAAAGATCATGTTGCTTTTTCGTCTCCTGAAAAAATCATATATATATTTTTTTTTTATGTTATGGTGTTTATTGGTTCGTGGAATTGGAATTGGAGATTCCATTCCTACCTCATAATAGTCATGAATGTACTTCAACGTGTCAGGTCCAGCAATAGGAGCATTTATTTTAGTAGTTTTCGCCTCCTCAAGCCATTTTCCAATTCCATCAATAAATTCATCAAAATCAATCTCATTGTTTCTAGACTTATCAAAATCTTTCATAACTCTATCAACAGCATCTTCTTCTTTCAAATTTATTTCATGTAATCTCATTCCCACAACCAATGCCCTTAACTCAGTATGTGAAAGCCATCCGTTTTCATTCACATCAATCGACTTAAATAGCCTGTCATACTCATACATTTTTGTATAAGTTTATTAAATCACACATATATATAACATATATATACACTAAAGTTATAAAAATTAATAACTTACTTTTCTAAAACTTCTTTGTTAGGTTCACCTTGATCAGTCAAAAGTCTTCCAAGTGCACGCATCTTTAAGTACTTAAGAATTCTAGATCTTACATGTTTGTGTTTTGCAAAAGCAAGGCGTCTTTTTTGTAATTTAGGCTGCATAACCTGAGAAAAAAAAAAAAAAATTCTCAAATGAAATCACATGAACAGTTGAAAATTTGTTATAAAATATAAATATTTACCTGATAAACACAGTATGCAATTAAAAGAGAAACAGAGACTATAAGACCAAGTAAAACAGACAAGTGTCTTCCAGAATCTGAATGCATGATTTGTGGGAATTGAACAACGATAAATGGGATCACAGATACAGCCATGATCATCCCAGAATAGCTTGTCCAAATATCAGTACTCACACCAGAACCTGCAGTGGTTAAATTACTGATTTACCCTTGTTGGAATGTTTGATGAGAGGAGGGATGTAAACTGTAAACTGTAAAGTACCTAGTAAGCTGAAGCCTTTAGTATCTGTGTTATCTACTGCAACTGAGTTCTCTATATCACATTTCCCAACAATGATGCATGTGCCCCATATTACAGTGATAAGCATGACTGTTGAACCTGCTAATAAACCCATTCCTACAGACACCTGATCTTGAGCAACATCAACACTTCCAGATAATCCAGATACTACAAGAAGGAAGTAGATTGTAAGATATACACATGTATAAAATGTTAGGAATTACTTCCCATAGATCTATTGATGTTATAACTAATAACAGGTGGAAGCTGGAAGTTTGAGTAAAAGTGTGGGGTAAAAGTAGCAGTAAGCAGTAAGCTTTTAGGTTATGAGTTTTGTTGTTTAAAATAAAAGTTCTAAGCATATATTATGAACTACGATTTTTCTTTAATTTGAGGTTTTTTTATGCTTAAACGTTGCTCTCAAAATATCTTTGCCTAATAGTAATAACCCAAGTTTCTTTTCCGATCTTTTTTTTTCCGATCTTAATCAATAGAAAATCCTTAATAGGAATTGGATTCTAGCAAAAGTGTAATTCTGGATCTTGAAATGAAAAGCCCCACACATTGATCTGACTACTTGCCTACTTTTAATCTGAACCAGTAATAATGCGGAGACAAATGGGCATGTTTGTCAAAAAGTTTTACATAGAGATAATCGAATAGAGACGATAATAGAAATCGAGTTCAATTTCGACCACTATTTAATAAATATAATTCAAAATTCCAAATAAAATAACAAGGAAAAGGAGGATTCTATTTAGAATCCCTGTAGAATCGAAACAAAAGAAAAGAAAAAAAAAACTGAGAATTATATTTCGAATCCTTTTTCGTAATCATCGGATCGAGATGAAAAGTTAGTTTGAACTAAGATCTTATATCTGAGAAGCAAAAGAGGAAGCAACATTGAGAGAGAAATCAGAACGATTTAGTACTAGGTATGTATTAAAATTGTTTACCGAGAATAAGCATAGCATCGGGAAGAGCACCGAGAATTGGAAGCAATAATCCGCCAACAAGACCTGGCCCTAAAATCTCGAGTAGCAGCTCACTACCAGCAGAGAGGTAGGTAGCAGCGAGGTACATGAGGTAACCATAGACTAAAATGAGGAAGAGGTTGCCAAGTGCTGTGTTGGTGCAAGGCAAGAATCCGTACGACTGTTCACAAGCTTCTGGTTCTTCAGCTGATACGAAGGGATTAAGACGGAGTACGCCGCCGTATCCATCGTGAACGCCGTCGGAGACGAGATCTGATGTTGAAGTGGTGGTGATTACACGGCCGACGACGGTGAAGATGAGGAGAGATGAGATTGTGAGTAAGAGGAGCGACTTGTGCGCCATGTGGCCGGCGACGATCGGCGTGAATCAGTGGTGATGGGATCTATTAACCGTCAAAAGAGAGTCCGAAAGTCTCGTTTTATATTGATGTCTCTTAATAAATAACTAGAAAGGTTACCCCGCTAGGCGGGGGCAGAAACTTTCAATGTTGTTTCCGAATTGATAAATACTAGTAAAGAACCCGCGGCTATGCCGCTTTTGGGGTAATATGGAAAAAATCGGCAAACTTTAAAAGATATGTGTTGAAATTGTAATCACCATAAATAGGGAAGAAAGTCGACAACTCCTAAAATTAGATGCAAAAATGTACAACAAAAAAAGGACACTGGGTGGAGAAAATCCAAAATGTTGTGGCAATAATATTAAGATTGTTAACGTTAGGAAAATATGTTGGCAAAATTTAAAGGAGGTTTTTTTTGTTTTTTTATGTCAAAATGTAAAACTTTTGACTACAAGGACAAAAAGTGTCAAATTCATTAAAGAATTGGCAAAACACCAAAATGTAATACCTTTGAATATAAGGACTAAAAGTGTCAAAGTCATTAAAGATTTGTGGCAAAAACTTAAGGCACAAAAACTTAATCAAAAGGCAAAAATGTAAAAATTTTGACTTTAGGGACTAAAAGTGTCAAGTTCAGCAAACTTATGTGGCAAAACCCTAAAGGCTAAAAGAATACTATTTCTAAGCTCCTTTAGATTTAATATATATATATATATATATATATATATATATATATATATATATATATATATATATATATATATTATATTATAATGACGGCCAGAAGCTTTCAATTTTTGTTTCCAATTGATAAATATGACAGACATAGAAAGTGCAAGGATGAAAAGTCCGGGCTTTGCCCCGGACAAAAAATGTAAAAGTTTTGACTGCAAGGACCAGAAGTGTGAAAATGGCTAAAGAATTTAAGGGGTAGGAATTAGCAACTTTTTAGAAAAGGGATCAAAGTTCAAACCGTTAAAGTTTGTGGCCAAACTTTAAATATTAAAAGGTTCCAAAAAAGTGTAAAAATATTGATTGCAAGGACCAAAAGTGTCAAAATGGGTAAAGAATAATGACCAAAGTTGCCAAAAAAACATCCAAATTTAGTATTCCTAACTTCCAACAATAATACAGGACCATTCTGCAAAAAAATGGGAAGATGAATGGAACACAAACAAAAGGACATGAATAAATTAATTAAAGAAGTATAGGGACCGGATATATAAATCAAGGGACCAAACCTGGACAAAGTATTCCAAGTTTACTATTCCTTTCTTCCACAACTTTAATATATATATAATAATAATAATACCATTCAAAATCCATTTTCTCAAAAGCTTAAAAATAATATTATTGTTCACATGATTGATTATTTTCTTCAAGTATTTTAAGCGAAGTGGTTATTAAAATATAAAAGTAAATTTATTAATCTATTTTAATCATTTCACCCATTAACTAATTATATAACTAGAAGGATATTTAATTTATCATATCATATAACCACTTTCGAAACGCACATTTTAACATTAACACTCTTTAATAAGATTAAAATTTTGCTATTTCTAGAATGACTAACCATAAAAAGGTAAATAAAAATAAAAATAAAAATAAATAGTTTTATTTTTGGGTTATTGACAAAAATATCATAAGATTTAAAATGATCAACTTATTTGTCTTTTGGTAAAATGATCATTATGTCTAAAATGTTTTGTTCCGAAAAATCATTGTGGATCCTAAAGTGCTATTCTGGATTCCGAACAAGTATTACTTCCGTAATATAAATGTTTGAAAATGTTATTCTCAAACGAAATATTTAGCTTATAACAATGTAGTTTATAGATACAACATCTATCTAAAACTAATATTAATGGATATACCCAAATCTTACCGGCCTTCACCGCTCTTATGAAAATACTAGGCATATTCGCAAATTAATATTACGTAGTTATTCATATTAACTACGAAATAATAATTCTTACATTATGTTGATATATAAAAAAAAATTATAAGCTTTTTAAACAATATGATAAGATACACATATATGGTAATCAAATTTTGCAATATAATTCTTGATTTAGTGATGCTTTAACTATTGTTATGATTAATTAATTTAAAAACTATTTATTTGATTGAGCATTATCTTTAACTATCTAATGTCTAACCAAATATTATACCAAACATATTCAAACCAATTATTAAAAACTAAATCATGTGCATGTATTATTTTATGTGTATTTATTTACAAGAGAATGTATGTTATTGTTATTCTAAAAATATATTAATCAAATATATAATACAAAGTTATATATTTAAGACAACAATTATGTAACTACCTAATAAAATTATTCATATTTGTATGTATTAAATTAAAAAAGAATGGAAGATGCAATTTTTCAAAGCAGAACTCTTAAAAAGATAAAAATTAAAAGAATTATTCCATTAAAATAGAAGTTACGACAGTGGCAAAAAAAAAACAACAATAACATCCATAAAAACTTATATTTTTTTATTCAGTATCCATAAAAAAATCATAAATAAAATGAATTGAGACATTTATAATTTCGTCAATATGAACATAGCCCATCAAAAGCCAATTTATGATCTCATTTTTATTTCAAAAATACACTTTAAACACATAACTGCACTCACTCATGGAACTTCCACCAACCCTGCAGTCACTCATGCATGCTAATCATACATAACTCTGGATTCCATAGACAGTCGAATACTTGATTCTACCCTAAGCCCACAACCAAACAAGGAACAGGAAATAATGTTAAATCAAATATTCTCAGGATATAAAATCTTAGTTATGTACCATTATGGTGCATACACTAAGCAACTACAATAATGATGTCAATTCCATCTAGCATACAGAAAATCTCCTAGCTATCAGGCATCATAATTCAGGCAATTCTATCATGCAATTCATAAAGATCTTTAGCCTACAACTAGCATGCAATTCTATCATAATTATCATAAGCAAGTAACAGTGGGTGTATCTTAGGGAATACTTTCTTGCTCCGGCTGATCGTACACATCTCGTCCCTCATTGGTTATTCTTGAAAACAATTTGAAAACTTTTGCAGATCCTTAGTTTGAGTTTGGATTCACACGAATATTCATCCAATTCTCTCAAACCAGGGCTCTGATACCAACTTGTAACGACCCAAAAATCACGATAAAATTTTCATTTTTCAATTAAAGTAAAATCATTGTTTCAATCAAAACCCAAGTCATAAAAACCAAGTATGAGATACGATTATCCCAAAATCAGAATATCATAAAATCTCCAAAACATATCACTGGAGGATGTGTATGTTCATGCCTTCGCCTTGCCCCGATCATCTGAAGTACTTGAAAGATAACACTTAACTGTAAGCCCAAGCTTAGCGAGTTTCCCAAAAAACCCCACACAAAATACAATAACAATTACAATACAAGCATATAGGGTTTGTTGGCTCAAGGCCTTAACCCAACCATCCGGGTTTGTCGACATAGAGTCTCAAATCAACCATTCGGGTTAGTTGACACAAAGTCTCAACCCAACCACTCGGGTTTGTTGACACAGAGTCTTAACCCAACCACCAATATGTCGACATATGCAACAGATAAACAATAATAAGCAAGTACAGGGAAATCGTGCAGGTCTACAATCTAACAGGTCACTACAACATAACAACATCCTATATACCAGGATACATAACCTAGTGGGCTGACATTGGTGCCTTCGACCCACGAATACAGTGAGAAGAACTCACCTCACCGTCTGAAAGATAGGTGGACTAATCATTGCTCCAAATACTTTCCCTAACAGTCACTTACGCCATAAAAATTGACCAACCCTCAATTCAACACTTAAAATACTCTATTTGACCTAAGGTCAAACTTGATTAATGGTTAGAGTCAATGGTTAAAGTTCAATTGGTCAATATTTCCCATACAAACCGAGTACGCCCTGCGTACTACCTCTCTACGCCCTACATAAAGGGTCATTGGGTTTCTACGGGACAAAAAGAAGGTATGCGTTGCGTACCCACATGTACACCTATCGTATTCGCGTTGAATCCAAATTCTTTTATTACGTCCTTAATTCTGAAATCCAACTCATCAAACTTCAGATCTAGACAAAAGGGACGTCTTAATGGATAAAGTCTCTGACTTTATCCATTTTTATGCATACAAAAGGGTATAAATTCAACCCCTTGGTCCAAAAGTCATCCAAGACTCCAAAACTCATGCATCGCTTAATGAGAGTGACTAAGTTCTCATTTTTATGACTCCATAAGCTCAATATTACAGATAACTACACCTCAAGGGCCTGAAGTAGCTCATACTCTGATGGGTTTTGATACAAAATATAAGCTTGTTTTTCACAAAACCCGGCAACAGAAGACTTTAAAAATAACAAGTTTATTTTTAGTTCATAACAAAACCAAACCATCATGGATCCATTTATAGAGGTTAGAATGAAATAAAAACACAACCAAAGGGTGTTTAGAATGACAACCTTTGAAGCCTTTTGAACCCACTTGGTTTTGGGGTGTTGATGAAGATGGAAAGATCAAATCATCATCTCTACAAGTATCCACCATCAAGATTAAGGCACTTGGAATTCTAGTTCCTTCTTGTATTCTTGAGTGTCTTAAACCTTTAAGTGCTTAACTTAAATAAGCACTAAATGAGACAACTCAAGCGGGCTTCTAATCACCAAAGTAAAGCACCAAACTTCAAAAGAAGAGAGCTCTTCATACTCACGGTTTTTAGAGAGAAAGAAGGGAAGAAAGAAGACCAAAAACTTACTTATTTCTCATGCATAAGACACTCTTGGCAAATAAATCATCAAATTCCAAGCTTTATACCTTATGGGGATGCTTGAGGTTGAGATACTTATGGATCTAAGTTGAGTTGAACTTCCAAGCTGATATACCACCTTCTTCCTCCTTCACAAGAACAAGAACACACACTTTCAAGCTCAAAAACACACACCAAAAAACTAGGGTTTGAAAGGTTGGAAGTTCATGCTAAAAGTTTTGAGTACGAGATTCAAAAGCTCTGTGATGTTC